AAACAGTTCTTTAAAAAATTCTACTCTCTAATAGTCACCTTAAAGATAGTCTGTGTAAGTAACTTAGATGTAGACTCTGTTTAAGAAAAAGACCTTGCCTAAAAAAACTGTACTGCTTGGTGTGTTGACAAAACTAACAGAAAGCCACTCATGAACCCAAAGACCCAATTAACATGTTATCTTCTCATACTCCCAGTCCATATACCTGAAGTCCTTCTCTACTGAGGAGAGAATAAAGCCGTCAGTACTATGTCCTGCTATTGCTCTCACAAACTGGGCCCTAGAATCTGAGGGAATCGGGGATGGAAATACGGTTGGGTGACCTTTATCTCTCAAAATTGTAAGCTGTATTAAAGTTCCAACTTCCTATTACTCTCCTTAAGCATGAAGATTAAAAATAAGATTCTTGGAATAACTCAAAGCACAGGGCTTTCTTTGCAAAGGATTTAAGAGAGCTGGCAACTCTACCAAACTCAATTTCTGTACTGAAAATGTTGCATGTAACCATATGAATTAAAATCTACTTGCCCAACAGGAGGATGCTTTCTCATCCTAAAACTCAAAGCATTAATTGTTAAAGCAAGAAGTGTAACATAATGGTATAACCTTTATAAATCTGTAACTTGCTAAAATAAACTTAGCAAATATACTGTGTAAGAGGTCAGACTAAAGGATTAAATCCTATATATAATTGTCCAAAGACAAGAATTCTTATGTTCGGGCAAGTCTTTCTCATCGGTTAAAAAAAAGAAATATTTTGGGGCCTATTTTTTCCTTATTAATAATTAAACACATATGCATTTAATTAGACAATAAGCCTGAGACAGCAGCAAAATGCTTTTCAATAAGGACAAAATTCAACTGTGAAACCGACTGCCACAGGCCTTTCTGAAGGCCAAGCCTACTTAATGTCAAAAAATACTAGATGAATAGAGGTGAGTGTGATTACTGATGGTTATTTAGCACCGTGGAAACAAAGCCTAGGTCAGGAAGTTTCTAAATCATGCATGCTCTAGAATATGATACTAAGGAAGCGGGTACTTTGTACACACTGTCACAGATTCCTTTGCTCCTGAAAATTATGTGTTTCTGCTTTGGCAATATGCCACTAAAGTTTTAAGTATGTTTCACATAAAGTTAGGCCAGTGACCTGGACTACATTAACTTCCAAAGTCTACGCCCTGTATTATTATTTTTTTTCCTGTCAAATATTCACCTTGAATTCTAAGCCAAATCATCCAAAAGCCACCACTCAAATCTGTCTGGTGTACTTTATTTGGCTCTGAAACAGGTTTAATATACCTTTTAATTAATCCTTTTAGTCTGTTAAGAGTATCTGACACAGTAATGTGTTTTGTGCCAAAGCCCTATTTAAAATCCTAGATTTAGACTGAGTTTATGAAGCACGCTTCTATTTACCTCCAAAAAACTCAGGAAAAGATTGGGACCTTTCTAGCACCAAGAAGCCCGAACTTAGGACTTCATCTACAGAAGATAGATATATATTTTTTTTTTAAAAAAAGAGTTTAAATACTCTGCATTTCTTGTCTACTGTTCAGGTATTTCATTTCAAAAAATAAAAATCTATGGATAGAAGTCAACTAAAATAATCTGAACAGTTTTTAGCGACATGAGAGTACATGCTCAGTGTTCCCTTCAACAGTATACACCCTTCAGCAGTAAATGTGGTATTTATAACTTGTTTCACTATTTTTTAGTAAAATGCAGTCATCTTTGCTTCATGAAATGTACTTGTCACTTGAACTTACTGCTCTGAGTAAGTACAAAAAGATGAAAAGATACATTTGTATTGAATATCAATTTTTGATGAATTACAGGAGTATAGACAAGAAAGTGCAGAAAAGAAGCTCCACAGCCCCATCTGTTGGCTAATTAAGCTCTCAAGAAAGCCATCTACCAGCCTCCAGCCAACAATGCTGAAGTGCAACCGTTTCATTTTTTTGGTAGAATTCCAAGTTTTATCATCACAAATCTATGATATTGGTGTATCAGTAACAACTTTTACTACCTAAGCACATAATAACTGAGTTTCTAATACACTTGTGTGATTTTTAATTTATTTTAAATTAGAACAACAGAGCACTCCATGTGCATAGCACTGCTTTTTTGAGCAAGGTTGAGATTGACTTGCTTGCATTTACATTCATAGATAAATAGTTTATAGTGAAATTGCAGTGTTTAAGAGGTGGCCCTTGATTATTTTTTTTTTTAAGCCTAGGCTAAAGCCACTTGCTTCTAAAGCCAAGGGCTTGAATGTAAATTTTTTTTAAAAGGCATTTACTGTATTTTGTAAGTCACAAATGTTTCTAGGTCCCACTGACTTGAAGGGACTAAGACAGCCAAATCTTGAGCATATGAAATATGACCTGATTGTGTTAAAAACATAGAATCTAGCATCTGAGTGATTTAAAACGAATCATCTAATTATACTGTAAGTAGAATAACTCCTTCATACGAATGCAATGCTATAAATTGGAAGAGGGCAGGTTTAGATTAAACATTAGGAAGAAGTTTTTCACTTTGAGGGTTGTAAGGCACTGGAACAGGTTGCCCAGAGAGGTTGTTGAGGCCCCATCCCTGGAGGTGTTCAAGGCCAGGCTGGATGTGGCCTTGGGCAACCTGGTCTAGTTGGCATGGCAGGGAGGTTGGAACTCTATGTTCTTCAAGGTCCTTTCCAACCTAAACCATTCTATGATTCTAATTACAGTAGGACAGAGTACTTCATACAGCAAACCGAACAAGATCACAGTATGACCACAACAAGGTCAAGGGCTGTTATAGAGGTTTTAATCTATAAAATCCTACTGTAGTGAACCTATTTGTACCACAACAGAAAACAGCTGCTGCAAGCCTTAAGCTTGGTTAAGGTCAGTTGTGATGGGGCTCCCAGTGCTGAAAATGGTGAGAGAAGAGGGTGGGGGAAAGATGGGAGCTAATGCACTTTTCCTATGTAAGCACTGGTCTGTTTAGAGGAATCAAAACTAATCTTACAGGTGGTTGAAAGGAAAAGTGTAGAAAATTACTCAAAACTAAAACAAAACACATACATAAAAATTAATCAGTGTTGAGAAATACTACTGCTGACCTCCTTTGTTAAATTATCTGTAGACAATTCCACATAGTGCCAATGGCAGGGGGGAGAGGTTGGAAGTATGTTGATGAAAACTTGTGCTCCTGTAGGAAGGACATTACCTCAGAGTAAACTGCAGCTGTATTAACAAATGCAAATTAAATAGCACTCAACATTAAGAAAAGAAGCTTAAAAGCAGTCTGGAACTTGAGACCTACCTGCTTGTTCTGCTAAGTTAGGTTGCCTACCTTCTCAGTCAAAATCTGAGTCCCCTACCCCCAAATGAAGATAACTGGTATCAGTATCATCAAATTGAGGATAAGCAAGTAAATTGTCATTCAAAATCTAATAGCAGTTAAACTCTATCAAGGTCCCACTGAAATTTGGGTATTCTATACTAAAATTTGGGTATCCAACTAAAGTTTCAGACTAACTGCTGAGTTTCAAAAGCTCTTTAAAAGAAGGGGAACTAATAAAGAATCTTAGTAATGCAGGATCATCTGACTTAATTATGTTCTTTTTCAGTCCAAAAAAAATACTTTCCTGTCAAAGGACAAAATTCTACTCCTGCTTAGGCCAGAATTGTAATGAGCAATCTATAGGACCTCTAAAAAGACATTGGCTGCTGGGCAATTTTGCTTTTTCACAACTAACCATGCTATTATTCAAAACCCCATAAAATAAATGGGCTCCTTATCCACAAATCTTCAGGTCTCTTATGTTCAATAAAAAAATCTTTTTCTGCAAAAAGAGCTGCAAGACTAGTCCCCTTTATGCTGGAAACAATTTACGTATAGTAGATTGGGGGTGGGGTGGAATGGTTATCTAGCTGAGATCTTTGGGGTTTGGTTTGAGAAACAAAAGAGAAGAGAGCTATTGTATGTTGAGATCACAAGCTGAAAAGACCACAACCAAAACAGACAAAATGAAATATGTAATGAAAGATGGAAAGGGAAGAGTCATGACAGATGATGGACAATGTAGCATTCCACTTGCATCCTGTCTTTGACAAACTTAATTTAAATAGGCTGTACAACCGTATCATACTGAAATGCAAGAATACAATGTAAATTTAAGTGACAATATGGCAGACAGACTTCACTGTCAAGCTCCTTATTCAAAATAACTTAAGATTATTGTATTCTGCTCCCTGCTGTGATGAAAATATATTCAACAGATGTCAAACTGAAAAGAATAGCATTTGGCATGTACAAAGCATGTTATTGCCCTTTTAACTACCTACTTGTGGTGTTTAAAGCCAACAATTGCTGAAATAATTATTAGCACTGAGTATAACTGGCAATGTGATGGAGTCTTCTCCATGTTGCTTTAGTGATAAGGTATGGCCTAGCGGGGGTTGAGGGGAATCCAGATCTCAAAACTCATGTTTTAGGAGTACTGAAGAGTTGAGAAAGTAGATGCATTTCCAGATTATTTGTTGGAAAAATACAGAACTCATGAATGTCTGTTAAACTGTAACTTAGAATGATATTTTGCCAATTTCTCAAAGACTTGTCCTTTAATTGTATTTTTTTTATAGTTCTAATGTTTAATACACTTTGAGTGGAACACTTTTCTCAGCTTTGTATGATCTACAAACTCACACTTAAGTACTCTAAAAACTTTTATGATGAGTGTTTCCAACAGTGACAGGATTTTTCTCTTTTTCTCAACGCAATCGCCAGGTCCTCAGAAAAAGCAGTTGCACCAGCTATCAAAAAACACCAGAAGCACCAGAAGAGCAGCAACCTACCCTGACAAGTAAGAGACAAAGGTTCAGATTACGATGCTTGTTTGTGAATTGAAATGTTTGAAATGTCATGTGTGCAATTCATTCAACTGAATTACAGAATATTACGCTACCTTAAAACAAGCTATCTCAGATATCACACCAAGGTACTTAACTTACCCCTCCCATTGTAATGCCATCGATAAGTGCCACGTATGGCTTCTTGCAAGTGCCTGTAAGAAATGTAAAAAAAAAAAAAAAAAAAAGGCATTTTTTTTTCAAAAGAGCAGACCTATGACTAACTGAATACATGATACATTTCCCCGTGTCTTACTTCAGCAAAAGCAAATAAATGGTAAATTAAACAGTAAAATATCAACTTAAAATGAAGTTACTTAATTTCATTCTTAAGCAATGGAAAGAAACACCAGTTACTGATGTAATGCATTCTGAGTGTTGTAAGAGAACATTATACAACCATCAAATGTCAGATTGTTTGCTGTGTCAGTACCTGACAATTTAGCTACATCTGGCTATTATAAATAGCTTTGCAGGATGCTGGGACACAACAGTTTCCCTTTTACCCCATCTCACAGCCTAGATTAACAGCGCAGAGTGCGTACCAGCACTCCAGTACTTTACTACAAAGCCAGATACATTGGTAGGTTTCAGCCAAAATGTGATTATAAACTACTGCAATGCAAACGTGTTCTGTCTTGCCAACTCTGTTGCATACTACAACCCTGAATGTAGCACAGGCAGGTCAAGATGATAATGTCCTAAAGTACCACAGTTTTATCCATCAACTGCTGGGTCTTTAGGAGGAGTAGAACTAAAGACCTCATGCTTTCAATTACCATTCATGGATAGATTCAGAAGTTCACTGGGAATGAAACTGCTGCCTCACATTCAGTGTTTTCGAGTCAGACTTAAAGTGCAGTCAGATTGTTGATACAGGTACCCGCTGAAACCATGTTGCTAGCTTTTCTGCAGCAACTATAGATCCTTGTTTAAAAAAAAAGAACTATTTTAAAAGGCAGTTCAATCCTCCAAATTAGGAGTTAGAAAATAAAACAGAATTGCATTAACATGAACATACAAGCTAATGCTTGAGCTCTAGATGCTAGTCTTTGTGCTAAATTTCTATAGAAGCATGCCTTTCCAATAGCAAATGCTGTGAAAGCAGCTCCTCTGTGTATTTTTAAGTTGTAAAATATAATATATAAATAAATCTTTTTGGCAGAAATCTTAGTCTTAAAGGAATACAATCATACCAAAGTTATCAAAAATCTAGGTTTTGTAATTACATGCATTATAGACATAGAACACCCTAATCATTTAAAAAAACCCCAAACTTTTAAAGTATGTACCCTTGCAATATTTGAATAGACTAGTTAGTTGGAAGGGACCTACAATGATCATCTAGTCCAACTGCTGTGGTAATACTAGTTTTTCCCCAAGTACATGAAACTTAAACTATTTTTCTTGACAAAGACAAGAAAGGCACATGAGAAACATGCTAAAACTGGAAATCCTGTCAAATGAAGTAAAAACAACTTTTCAGAAACTAGTCTTACTCCAATAACTCTATGCTCCTCCGTTGACCTAAGTTGATACGCAACATACTTGCCTTCCTCCTGTATTGACTAACACTGGATACGATGTTTAAAAACTCAAACTGTATTCAATAAAAGTATGTTTGGAGAAGTTTCTTCTCACCAAAACATTACACTCTTGACTTTTACCCTAAAGAATTAATATCCTGTACCCCAGTAAACCTTACCCAGTGTCTTTCCTGTTAGTTACTTTAAGACCACAAACTTCTAGGTTCTTTGCAATAAACTAAGGCATTAAGTCCCAGCCTGAGTATTCATTTATGCAGTTTATTTAAATGGAAAGCTTTAACATAATTAGATCTTCTGCTTTCTGACTGAGTATTAATGATTTTTCCATGCATCTATTTTTATCTCAGGTCTTCTTTGAAGCAGACCAGTGATACTCAGTACAAAACTGCACTGTCTACATCTAAGACTTAATTCAGCCATACCAGAAATATAACTAACCAGAACAATGGGATGGGATAAGGTAGCTATCACAATAGCTTAAACAAAACAAACAAATTCTGCAGGCAAGTTATAAAAACAATATATGTTACACTACTGGTATTGAATTTGGTTACAAAAAAAATAAAATTACTACTTCTATTATGTTATCACAGTCTTATATAGATTAGAAAAGAGTGAAAGTGAATTTGCATTCAAAGCCGCTATTAGGAAAACTGTACTGCTTCAGAATTTGCAATTAAACATACCAATGGCATTGTTCAGGATATATTCTTCTCTGAAGAAATCTTGTGCCAGTCTATCTCCAGCTTTTCCTGCATCTGTGATGGCTTAAAAGAAATAAAAATTCTAAAGATAACTATAAGTTTAATAGAAAATACAAGTAAAAAAATTAATATTACGTAGTAAGTTTTTTTCCTACAGCAATGAAACAGCAACTTAATCCTGCTTTATTTTATTTGACAAAATTCGCTCACACTTAAATATGAACACGAAGTTTCAAATTTGAGTCAATTCTATTAAGCTGCAGACACTGCCACATACTTGTAAGAATGCAGTCTGTTTTCTATGCTAGGGAACCCCTCTTAATGTCTCCTATTCTTGTTTGTGATATTTTGTATCAATATATAGAACAGTCACTTAAAACTGACTATATTGAAGACTGAATACTAAAAATGTGAAGCCAATTAGAGTAGGACACAATTTAACAATAACCCATGCTGCTTGTTTACCTACAATTTAAAACAACTCCCAATTTTCACAGCTTGGAGATTTCCTACAGTTCATAGTTACAAAATAATCACACATACATTGATCATCATTGTCAGCTCTGTATCTAGTCACCTCAAACATCAGACACAAAAGAGCTACCTATTAGGACCCTTCAAATTTCTTGTAAAGAATCTGTCAGTAATGAAACTCTGGGAAGAAAAAGGTATAGACAAGAACCCTCTCTTTCCAGGAATGACTGCCTGCTATTATTGGTTATGCATAAACCCCCAATTTTTTACTCTTTTATACAGTGTTCTGACAGCTGTCTCCTGACAAATAAATTGCATCTGCACATCAAGGTGTCATAAGAAGTCAGCACAACTAATCTCTCTTACTGTTGTGTAGCAAGCCTTTGTTTAACTGATTCATAGTAAATAAAGGAAATCAACAAAAAGTAGTAACTGGCAAAAATATTTCAAATGTTTAAGTGACTATAGTCCTTACCTCTGATGTCACCCCCAGCACAAAATGCTTTTCCTCCAGTTCCCTTTATAATTATTAGAAAAGTTTCAGGATCTTGCTCCCAAGCCTAAAAAGAAGTAAATGTTTCCACGTAAGGCTAAAGTCTGTGCAAAAAATGCTTTCTCTGTATACTGTCTGTAATTCTTACCTTACTCTTTCAAAAAGCAAATCGAGCTATACTTAAAATAGCTTGTCTTAAACTGAAGTTTGAGAGCTAAATGTCTTTCTGCCACTCCTGTGTCCTATTCAACCTTGACATCAGCAAAGCTGCCATGTGTATTTCAGAGAAACGTCTATGCAGAGCTCCCAACATCTTGAAGAAAGGTAGCACTCCCTAAAACTGTGCCAAACCTAAATCTCAAGGCGATCACAATGCTGGGGCAGGAATTTGGGAATATGGAAGATGTAATAACAATGTTTCAGGTCAAATCATGAAAGTTGTGTAAATCTAAGATGCAGGGCAAAGAAAAAACAGCATTTAATTTGTTGATGGATTTTGTCAAAATGACTGCAATCAATCGACTAGACCAAATCAATTTGCGCACAGATGTTTTCCTAGCTACAAAGACTATGGGTTTGAATTTCAGGTTTTTTTCTGAATTAAATGCACTGGTACAAGACTTCAGCAGTGGTCCAACAGTATTGAGAAAAAGATGCCTTTTGCAGGGCTTTTTCCCTTCTTAAACTATGCTCATATATCCCTTATTCAAGTAAGCGAACCCAGATAAAAGAGAAACAAGACATTTCTGTATAACAGCAACTGTACTTAAAATTATGCCACCTTTTAAGGTTGTGCTTCAAAAAAAGCCTGGTACTCAGCACTACAAATTAAGTATTTCTTTCTTTAAATGTTCTTCAAAGAATGCACAAATTTGCAACACAACCGTCTACCAAAATACCAAAAGGTGGACAACTCTCCAACAAATACTGGTATCTAATAAGTTTGACTTTGTGCATATGATAAATAATATCATTAAATTTAAAAAGACCGTTTGCATGCTTAAAATTTCACACTACTTCACTAGCTTGTAGAACCAGTGCCAGTAAAAGCATAAAGAAGTCCTTTAAGAAATGACACTAACAGCAACTTGCTTCCTAATGATTTGTATCTTTTATTTCAGCCACACAGCCTCCCCACAAAACATGCACCCAATCAAGAGGCAACACCACTGTATAGCTTGAAATTCATGCATGCTGACCGACCAGCTTTGGCTGTTGCCAGAAGGAACATATAAACACCAAACACTTCTTGCTTTTAATTCAGTTCTGGTTTTAATACGGGTGTCTCTATCCAGATGCTAAATTTAACTTTTCTGACAGCTTGTTTCTTTGACATGTCTTCTCCTCTAACTCGCTTGAAACTGTCTGTTCTTTCCCATCCTATAAATCTGAGCCCATTGGCCAATGCACTTACACAGACTTTAATTCTTCAAATCAGTATACTAAGTGTCAGACTGAATTTTAAAATTGGTTTTGGATAACATATGTAAAGTGGATGGGTAGAAACGAAGCTACTAACCTTTATTTGTGGATAAATTTGTCGGATCATAGAAAGATTTAGCGCATTGAGAGCCTTGGGTCTATTCAAAGTTATTATTCCTGCGCCTCCTCTCTTTTCCAACAGCACTTCAGCTGTCAAATCTGTATGCTTAGACATCTTCTGTACATGCAAAACCAAAGCAAATGTCATCAGTTAGATACCTTGAGTAACATACATACAAGAGTGTTTATGGAAACATATTCTCAAAACGCATTATTTAAGATCATAAAACATGCGTTTTGGAATTGTATGCTCAGGCTTTCCCACTGTACTTTATTTGCATTTCCTAAACAGTTCTTTTGAAACCACTTTATGTTTGAGTCCTTCAGAGTAGTAAATCTCAGACAAGTTTTTGAGCCACACGCTCTTTGACAATGACATTTGAGTTCGTTTAAAAAAAACCCCACACAACACTACAAAACACAAACCCATCGTTCTTTAAGACTGATATTCTGAAAATACCTGCAAGAATTATAACAATGACAGTTCCATGTGTTCCTACTGGCAGTGTGACACTGCAAAACTAAATGTGCACTTGGCTTTTGTCTGTAAGTAACTTTCAACAGTAGAGAACAAATAATTAAATTATTTTTACAATCAGTTTCAAACTCACTGTGGAATGATATGTAAGGAATATATGGAAGCTAACACAGAAACTAACTGTAAAAGTAGGTAAGGCCAAAATAATTTAAGCTTTAATTTACAGTACAATAAAAACTTGTAAGAAAGTGCTCAAAGCGGACAATGTTATGCCTCAGTAATAAATGATGGCATTCATAACCATTGCAAGCAGACACATTAGAAGTTGCACGTGCTGTCTGTCTCGGGGGAGTTAAGAGTCCTAAAAGCTTCCAACTCAGTCAAACAAGATGCTGTTCTTACCAAATGTTGTAATATTACTTGTAGTCTGTTGAATGGCTTCAGCCTGAAAAAGAAGTATCAAAAAAGATAGCTAAAACCATAAACCCCAAATATATGATTGCTGAGTTAAGCAAAGCTTTGTCAGAAAAATTTCTGAACACAATTGTTTTACATTCTCCTTTTCAAAATCAAGTAAAATCAGCACAATTTCGATACCAAAACAGTTGGAAATTTCTTTGCTTACTAGTAAATAGGTATCAGATACCAATGCCAACTACTAATGTTTTCGATGTGTTCAATTTAGAAGGTGAACCTGGAAATAATAAGACAGAGTTTGAGGGATATGTTTGCTACTTAGCAGTTTGTCTTTTGAAGATTTATAGCCCTTTTCCCGATGTTTAAATATTAGCATTTTTAAGTTTGGGGGATATGTTTGGTACTTAGGAGTTTATGTCTTCTAAAGATTTATAGCCCTTTTCCCGATGTTTAAATACTAGCATTTTTAAGAAAACGGTCATGTCAAAAACTTCTGCGTTTCCAAAGCTTCCATGACACCAACCCTGCCCTCATGTCCTTGTGTGTTCGCACCTTTACGTAGGGTTTATCTTAACAGCTGGAACAATGCTCCTGCCTCCACTGCTGACAGGAGATACGCGTGCTGGGACATTCTGTGAACCCGTTACTCAATTTAAGTACCGAGGCAGTTATTTATTAATTGCCTCCATATTCTACTGAGGAAGACAGTTAAGCATTCACTGGACTTCAGACACCAGGCTTTTGTCAGCGTTAACGAACCACCTGATCTTCCAGCTTACCTAAAAGCACAAAACACCGCCAATTAATGCATTACATGCAAATGTCACGGCACCCTGGGCTAATTTTTATGCACACGCTCATTTTAGAATGGGAAAGTTAACCTAGGCCTGGCTTATCTAGGCCTAAATTCTGTTTTATGCTGCTTTGGGGGTTTACAATCCCCGGCTCTAGAGGCCTTACCGGCCCGTGGCTC